TTTTGGCTACCACGACCTGGCTTTCTGTCTCCTTTCCTCTTTTGTCGCCACAATTAAGAAAGGGATAGATAATAAGACAGAAAATATCATGTTGCCCTTATATAAATCCATGGTATGTCCACATCTTGAATATTACGTCCAGATGTGGTTGCCCCATCCCAAAAATATATATTGGAATTGGAAAAGGTACAGAATTGGAAAAGGCAACAAAAATCTCTCCTCGTATGGAACGGCTTCCATATGAGGAGAGATTAATAAGACTGGGACTCTTTACCTTGGAAAAAAGATGACTAAGGTAGGATATGCATCCGAGGGTGCTAAAGGAATTGGCGGATGTGATTGCAGAGCCATTGGCCATTATCTTTGAAAACTCATGACCCTGGGGAGGTCCTGGATGACTGGAAAAAGGCTAATATAGTGTCCATCTTAAATAAGAGGGAAGAAGGAGGATATGGGGAACTACAGGCCAATCAGCCTCACCTCAGTCCCTGGAAAAATCATGGAGCAGGTCCTCAAGGAATCAATTCTGAAGCACTTAGAGGAGAGGAAAGTGATCAGAAACAGTCAGCATGGATTCACCAAGAGCAAATCATGCCTGACTATCCTAATTGCCTTCTATGACGAAATAACTGGCTCTGTGGATGAGGGGAAAGCAGTGGACGTGTTATTCCTTGACTTTAGCAAAGCTTTTGATACGGTCTCCCACAGTATTCTTGCCAGCAAGTTAAAGAAGTATGGGCTGGATGAATGGACTATAGAAAGCTGGCTAGATCATCAGGCTCAACGGGTAGGGATCAATGGCTCCATGTCTAGTTGGCAGCCGGTATCAAGCGAAGTGCCCCAAGGATCAGTCCTGGGGCCGGTTTTGTTCGATATCTTCATTAATGATCTGGAGGATGGCTTGGACTGCACCCTCAGCAAGTTTGAAGATGACACTAAACTGGGAGGAGTGGTAGATATGCTGGAGGGTAGGGATAGGATACAGAGGGACCTAGACATATTAGAGGATTGGGCCAAAAGAAATCTGATGAGGTTCAACAAGGACAAGAGCAGAGTCCTGCACTTAGGACGGAAGAATCCCATGCCCTGCTACAGACTAGGGACCAAATGACTAGGCAGCAGTTCTGCAGAAAAGGACCTAGGGGTTACAGTGGATGAGAAGCTGGATATGAGTCGACAGTGTGCCCTTGTTGCCAACAAGGCTAATGGCATTTTGGGAACGTGATCGTTCCCCACTATTCGACATTGGTGAGGCCTCATCTGGAGTACTCTGTCCAGTTTTGGGCCCCACACTACAAGAAGGATGTGGAAAAATTGGAAAGAGTCCAGCGGAGGGCAACAAAAATGATTAGGAGTCTGGAGCACATGACTTATGAGGAGAGGCTGAGGGAACTGGGATTGTTTAGTCTGCAGAAGAGAAGAATGAGGGGGGATTTGATAGCTGCTTTCAACTATCTGAAAGGGGGTTCCAAAGAGGATGGATTTAGACTGTTCTCAGTGGTAGCAGATGACAGAACAAGGAGTAACGGTCTCAAGTTGCAGTGAGGGAGGTTTAGGTTGGATATTAGGAAAAACTTTTTCACTAGGAGGGTGGTGAAGCACTGGAATAGGTTACCTAGGGAGGTGGTGGAATCTCCTTCCTTAGAGGTTTTTAAGATCAGGCTTGACAAAGCTCTGGCTGGGATAATTTAGTTGGGGATTGGTCCTGCTTTGAGCAGGGGGTTGGACTAGATGACCTCCTGAGGTCCCTTCCAACCCTGATATTCTATGATTCTATGATATGACTGAGGTCTATAAAATCATGACTGGTGTGGAGAAAGTACACCTCTACCTCGATATAACGCTGTCCTCGGGAGCCAAAAAATCTTACCGCGTTATAGGTGAAACCGCGTTATATCGAACTTGCTTTGATCCGCCGGAGTGCGCAGCCCCGCCACCCCGGAGCATTGCTTTACCGCATTATATCAGAATTTGTGTTATATCGGGGTAGAGGTGCAAATAAGGAAGTGTTATTTACTCCTTCTCATAACGCAAGAACTAGGGGTCACCAAATGAAATTAATAGGTAGGTTTAAAACAAACAAAAGGAAGTATTTTTCACACAACGCACAGTCAACCTGTGGAATTCCTTGCCAGAGGACGTTGTGAAAGCCAGGACTATAACAGGGTTGAAAAAAGAACTAGATAAATTCATGGTCTCATAGACTCATAGACTTTAAGGTCAGAAGGGACCAATATGGTCATCTAGTCTGACCTCCCGCATGATACAGGCCACAAAAGCTGACCCCCCCACTTTCCCTTAACTCTGCTGTTGAAGTCTCCAGATCATGATCTAAAGACTTCAAGTTGCAGAGAATCTTCCAGCTTGCGACCCCTGCCCTATGCTGCGGAGGAAGGCGAAAAACCTCCAGGGCCACTGCCAATCTACCCTGGAGGAAAATTCCTTCCCGACCCCAAATATGGCGATCAGCAGAACCCCGAGCATACAGGCAAGATTCTCTAGCCAGACCCTCATTTTACCAGCAATGGCCGTTATTGCCTAATTGACTAAAATCATGTTATCCCATCAAACATTCCCTCCATAAATTTATCTAGCCTAATCTTGAAGCCAGAGAGGTCTTTCGCCCCCACCGTTTCCCTCGGAAGGCTGTTCCAAAATTTCACCCCTCTGACGGTTAGAAACCTTCGTCTAATTTCAAGCCTAAATTTCCCGATGGTCATCAATGGTTCATCAAGTTCATTAATGGCTATTAGACAGGATGGATAGGGATGGTGTCCTTAGCCTCTGTTTGCCAGAAGCTGGGAATGGGCGACAGGGGATGGATCATTTGATGATTACCTATTCATTCCCTCTGGGGCACCTGGCATTGGGTACTGTCGGAAGATGGGATACTGGGCTAGATGGACCTTTGGTCTGACCCAGTATGGCCGTTCTTATGGTGGCCCCAGCAGGCCGTGGTGGTGTGGAAGGGGTTAATGGGGATGTGTCCCCAGGTGGCAGTTGGGGGGTGTTGACGCAGAACGGATTAATGGGGCAGTGGTCCTAGCGGGCAGTGGGGAGGTAGTGCTAAAGGGATCAATGGGGCAGAGGCCCTGGTGGGCAGTGAGAGAAATGATGGCTCGGAAGTGGTTAATGGGGCCGAGGCCCCAGCAGGGAGTGGGGTTGATGGTGGTGTGGAAAGGGTTAATGGGGCGGTAGCCCTGGCAAGCAGTGCGGATGATGGTGTGGAGGGGGTTAATGGGACTGAGGACCCGGGAGGCAGTGGGGATGATGATGTAGAAGGGGTTAATAGGGCGGTGGCTCTGGCTGACAGTAGGGGTGGTGGTGCAGGAAAGGTTAATGGGCAGTGACCCTGACAGGCAGTGGAGGTGGTGGTGTGGAAGTGGTTAATGGGGCGGAGGACCTGGCAGGTGGTGGGGGTGGTATGGAAGGGGTTAATGGGGACGGAGCACCCGGCAGGCAGTGGGGATGATGGTGTGGAGGGAGTTAATGGGAATGAGGACCTGGGAGGCAGTGGGGATGATGGTGTGGAGGGGGTTAATGGGGAAGTGGCTCTGGCTGACAGTGGGGGTAATGATGCGGAAAACGTTAATGGGGCAGAGGACCCGGCAGGCGGTGGGGGTGGTATGGAAGGGGTTAATGGGGACGGAGCACCCGGAAGGCAGTGGCGGTGGTGTGGAAGTGGTTAATGGGGCGGAGGACCCGGCAGGCGGTGGGGGTGGTGTGGGAGAGATTAATGGGGAGGTGCCCCCAGCGGGGTGTGTGTAGCACAGAAGGGGTTAATGGGACGGAGGCCCCAGCAGGCGGTGGGGAGGGGGTTGGCGCGGAAGGAGTTACTGGGACGGAGGCCCCGGCAGGCACTGGGGGTGATGTCACAGAAGGGATTAATGGAACGTTGGCCCTGGCCAGCCGTGAGGAGTGATGGCGGGGAAGGGGTTAATGGGGGGGGCGGCTGGGAGAGCTACCCCTCCCGTGTTCGGAGCCCGGATGTTGAACCTCACTTGCTCAAAGACAGGCGAGTAATCGTGCGTGACTTGGCTCCTTAGCGGGAACCAGGACTGTATCGCGAGAGCGCCCCTTCTCGCTGTGCTTGGTAGCGCGCGGTTTTGGCGGCTGTGTGGGTCTCGCGACACTTGTAGCGCGTGGTAGGAAGTTTGGCGCGGGAGTTTGTGAGGGGAGCGGAGCGGTGTCGGGAGCTTTCGCGCCAGCCAGCCATGCCGGCCCGCAACACCCCGAGCAGCGGCGGTGAGCGTCGGTCTCCTCCCAGGCCTGCGGGGTTCGGAGGACGCGGGTCGGAGCGGGAAGAGGGCAGGGCTGTGGGGATGTACCTGGGGTTGGGTGCAGGAGGGGAAGGAGGAGAGTCCGGGGCTGGAGGGAAGGGGTGACTGGGGAGTGCGGGGGGGG